TACCTATTTAAGATGGTTAATATATCCTTTGTTAAAGCATTGAGCACTGTGTTACACATGTTCAAAATCTCACTCACTCACTGAAATTAGCTGCCACTGTGGACTCGCAGTATTCCTGAAAGCCTCATTCCTTGGTATTAGAATCAAGCAAGCAGAAAAGGAGGAACACAAGAAGTAACAATCCCCTTTGAAAATTAGGTAGCTCTTGCTCAGTTTCATGCAGAAAGTCTGGAATAGCTTTCAGGACAGAACTAAAATTGCTTTCTCCATTATTTCTTTCCCTACCTTTCAACATGCCACTCAACTCAACCAGTATCCACTGTATCACATGAAGTATCCTATCACCATGTCAGTTCTGTCTGCAAAGAGGATGACCCATCATGTCTGCAATTTCTTAGGATTTACAGAACATCAGGAAAAAAAAGGAAAAAGAAAGAAGAAAAAACACGTAGAATTCTACCCATAGCTTCAGCTCAGTTCTCATACAAGTAACGTATTGGAACACCTAGGTACACAAGCAGCCATCTCTCTGTATCGCTACCGCTACCATCTCAGCTAAAGGGCTGACCTGCCATGCCAGACTGTCATCCTTCAAACAAACAAACCCAGAAAAGGGGTGTCATGCTTTGCCAGTAGATTTTAGATATCTTTGCTGGCAAATGAACAAGAACTACAAGGTATACTGGGATCATGTCTGGCTTTTGAAGATTGCATGCGCTCATATGTATTGACCTTTGTCTATGAAACCGAAGGACAGCTACTTCTATACTGTTTCTTGAGTTTGTTTGCATCTGCCTCTCTTCACTGTTCAAGAGTCCTGTTTTTCATTCCTAAGGCTGCCAGTGGAATCCTGGCCTCTTCACTGAGCAAGACCCAGTTACATTTACTTACTTCTAACCTTTCCACATTCTCATACCTTGTTTCTTCTTTGCAGACAGGTCTCCAGGTTTACTTTTCACGGGCTCCTATTTCTAATTCCACTCTCTTTTATCAAACCCATCTAATCTAGGTGAACATTCCCTCATCTTTTTTCCCAATTTTATTTCTCTGTGCATCCCATCAGAATTTGGATTGCCTCCCTTGCTTCTTCATTTTCTTTTCCCATTCTTCATTCAAACTCATTCTTCCTACCTCTGTTCTCACATTCAATCTAATCCTCACAAACATCTCCACCTCTTCAGTTTTTCCTGTTCTTCCACCCCTGCCTAGCCACAGCCTGTCTCTACTAGCTCCAAGGCCATGTACCTTCTGGACCAGTTCTTCTCCCCACTCCAAGCCTCAGAAGTTCCAACACAGTTGTTGAAGATTTGTTACTCTGCTCTTCTTTCTGCACATCCATAGGTGCCTTCTTCTTTCCAGCCACCTCTGCCTACTATAAAAGCAGACGACAGTGGCACCGCTTTCCCTCAGGCAGGATGCCAGCAGCTGAAGAGCAGTATCTGTAGGGGGAGCCCTGCACAACCATAACGTGAAGCTTCACGAAATTCAGATATTAAAACCTAAGACTGTTCTACCAAGTATCTGAAAAGGACTGTTTTTTAAAAGGTTTATAATTTTATGCTGTTATATATATTTCCATAGAACCGGCCTGTTCATGACACAAAAATCATGTATCTACTAAAAGCTTAAAGCCTAGGTGGGGATAATACAAAATTTATGAAATTGTCACCAGAATTTTTAACTCAGCTCATTCTTTCTTGGCATAAATTCACAGAAACTTGGCTACAACATCTACATATGGCAAAGGGAAACAACACAAAAGATGAACTCATCAGAGTTACAAGGAACTAAATGTTAGAGTGTGCAGCAGACATATAAAAAGCTGTACCAGTAAACTCACTGAAAATAAGGAATGATAGATATATTCATAGATCACAAAGCATGCTAAAAGTAAGAGCTAATAACCGGCTTTGTAATGTTGCTTTCCCTTTAGGCCAAACCTTACCAGATGTTTTTATTTAAAGATTTCCAAAAGGCATGTGTTTGTTTCCTTTTGTCTGAAATTGTTAAGTTTTCTAAATGGTCTGATTCATTATGAGAAGTGGTGGTGCTTGAAAGAGCATTGAAAAAAAAACAGAAAAAAATACTATAAAGATATGAATCATAATATCATTAATTATTTGCTCCAATTCCTGGATTTCTGGCTCCTGCATTTTCCACCACAGGATGCATAACCCCATTTTCTGAGCACAAAATGTTTCAATATTAATTCCCTCATCTTAAAAATACAAGGCAAAATATTTTGGTCTCTGAGAATCACAGAATCACAGAATTGTAGGGGTTGGAAGGGACCTCCAGAGATCATCGAGTCCAACCCCCTGCCAAAGCAGGTTCCCTACAGCAGGTCGCACAGGTCGGCATCCAGGCAGGTCTTGAACATCTCCAGCTCCACCACCTCCCTGGGCAGCCTGTTCCAGTGCTCCGTCACCTCACTGTAAAGAAGTTCTTGCGCACATTTGTGCAGAACTTCCTATGCTGCAGCTTATGTCAGTTTCCCCTTGTCCTGTCTCCACATACCACTGAAAAGAGACTCCTCACCACTATGGCTCCCACACCTCAGATATTTATAAACCTGGATCAGGTTTCCTCTCAGTCTTCTTTTCTCAAGGCTGAACAGACCCAGTTCACTCAGCCTTTCCTCATAGGAGAGATGCTCCAGGCCCTTCACCATCTTCATGGCCCTCCGCTGGACTCTTTCCAAGAGATCCCTGTCTTTTTTGTACTGGGGAGCCCAGAACTGGACGCAGTACTCCAGATGAGGCCTTACCAGGGCAGAGTAGAGGGGGAGGATCACCTCCCTCGACCTGCTGGCCACGCTCTTTTTAATGAACCCCAGAAACATCCCAGAGAAACAATGCCTGTAATTCTAACTTAAATATGCTGTAGAATTTATAATGGTTGAATTTGTAAGGCTATCATTTTCCTGAATGCCTTCACTGTTATTGCTGGGGAATAAAGGGCATTTTCCAAAGGTTAAAATCTACCTTATTTTTAATTCACTACAGGTAATATATTAATTCTAATTGCAAAACTTTGACTGGCCTTGGTGATACCAACACACTACCTTGAGAGCTAAATCTTTCACAATTAAGACATCCTAAAATAAATTATGATACAAATGCACTAACTAAACTCACGTGCACAGTTTGGGATCTAAATGGGTTGCATATGCATTTCCATGCTTATCTAGAAAGATTAATGGCCAAATCTTTGCTTGCTTCTTTTTATGATCCCATTTAAGCAATCTTTTTGATACATAAGTGCCACCTGTAGGAAGTACTGAAGTATGCTCAAATACAATCTTGTGCCAAGTAAGGCACCAAGTTGCATACTTTGTATGCCCAATAAAGGTTTCTCTTTCAGAAATTCAATCCTGTACTGTAAGAAGCAATGAACCTGTATGATAGTGGCTTACTTGAGGAAGATCAGTTTCTAAAGTCAGAGCTACAGGAATAACACTGCTTTGTAATGCAGTCTATTCAAATGAAAATTCAAATTAAAAATGAAAAACACTACATTGTTTCCAGTTGCTGGTCTGTATAACACTATTCCATAGAAATCAAGCAGTGCTTAACTATGCTATGACAAATTAAATAGTGCCTGCAATGGCTAAAATGGAGTGCTTCACCACAGTTACCTAAGGCAGACAAATACTAAGGAATGCATAACATCTATTTCCATTTCTTTCCAGAATCAATAAAAAGATGCTAACTTGAAAAAGTATTCTAGCAAAACAACAGTCTGGCCTCTACCACACCATATACACCATTCAGTTTCTCTGTGTAGTGTGCTAAGCATGAATGGATGGAAGTGCAAACGCTACCTTAGATCCAACGCTGAGAGAATCCAGTAATTTCCAAAGCCACCATAAAAATAATTATGAAAAAAGAGTTTCCAATTCCATAGCAATTTCTTTGATATTTCAAGAGAAATGGGGAGCTTAAAAAATTAATTGCTTCAAGTATTAAGCAGACCTTCATCAAAGAAGAATTTAAACACAAATAATTTGTTAAAAAAAAAAACAACAGTGATTGAGAAAGCTGGACTGTTGCCATAAACGTCACCTACAACAGTTACATTCCATAAATGTATCACAACAAGGAAATAGTTTCCTCAGTTCAATTATCTCACTCACTGATGAGGTATTTCCATCCCCCAAGATATTTACCAGGTAACACTGTCAAAGCAGATCACATTAAAAAACAAGAAGTTATTTTTGATCACATAGACATACACAGATGAGAAGAACGGCGCGATACAAGGACAGAAACGATACTCTGCCCTCCTACGGAACAATTTTTCATTGTTCTGAACATCAGTTTAGTCTAGTAGGTCGCTGCTACTTGTGCACGAACGACGCGCGTTCAGCGTCGCCGCTGCGATCGCCCTCGGCCGCTGCCGTGGGCGCGGACGGCGGCTCAGCCCCGCACAGCGGCCCGCTCCGTGCCCGCCCCCGACGGCGCCCGCCGCGGCGGTGCTGTCCGCGGTGCTGAACCCTCCGCGGCCCCGCTCCGCGCCCAGAAGCGCCAGCGCCGGCAACAAGTTTCGCCACCGGCGCGCGGCCCTCGGCGGACGCGCCCGCGCGTGCCGGGCTCGGGCACCGCCGTACGGCACAAAACAGCTCGGGGCTCGCGGCCGACAGAACCGCGACGCGGCCGCCGCTCCGCCTCCGGGTGCGGGCTGCGCGCTCCGGCCCCGCGGCCGGTCCCGGCGGGGCGGCACGGGCCGCGCCGTGCCGCAGCTCCCCGCCACTACAGCCGCACTGCCGCACCGGGGGGGCTCCGGGGCGCGGCGACGCGCCCTCCGCTCCCTCCCGCAAGGCGCAGCCTTCCGTCCGCCTTTTGTTCTCGGCGCGGGAGGGCGGCGGGCGGGAGGGCGCGGGGACATCCCCCGGCAGCCGGGCTAACAAAGGGCCGCACGTAGAGGCGATTAACTCGCCTTACGTCCGCCGGGGCAGCCGCGGCGCGCGCCCGGGAATTACCGCGCCGAGCCGCACTCACCGTCCCTCTCGCAGAGCTGGATCGCCTCCAGGCTCAGGTTCTTGATCACCTCCTCGCAGGGGCTCGTGGGGCTGCCCACGGCGTGCGCCAGGCGCGGAGCCTCCATCGCGCCCCTCGCCGCTCCCTGCTGTGGGGCTGGGGCTGGAGCTCGGGCGGTGCAGAGCCGCGGCCGCGCTTCCCGGCGCCGCCCGGCTGGCTGGGCTCGGCGGAGGCGGGCGGCAGCGGATTTGTCGCCGCGGCGGGCTGGGGAGGGGGCAGCAGAGAGGCGCGCTCCTCGCACCCCGGGCGCCGCGTTTAAAGGGGCCGCCGCCGCCGAGGCGCGACGGCAGCTCGGCCGGCTCCCCTCCCCCACGCCCTTACGTAACGCCGGCGGAGCGGCCCCGCGCCTCCCCGCTCGCTCCCCGCCGGCTCCTCGCGGCCCCGCGGCGGGGACCGCTACCGACGGCAGCGGCAGCGCGTCCACCGGGGGCCCCTCGGGAGGGCTCCGCTGCGCTCCCTCAGGCTCCCCGCTGCCGCCTGAGGCTCCCGTCCCGAGGGTGCCTGCAAGCAGGGAGGCACCGGAGTGCGGGGACAAGTGCCCGCGGTCGCTGGCTTCCCGCTGGGAGCTCTCGGGGAGCACATGGCGCCCAGCACGGCGCGGAACTGCAATGCTGTGTGCAGTGCTTTGAGCCTTCGGTTACACAAGGAGCAGGAGAAAGAAATGTTGGCCATTGCTAAACCGAGAAGGATATACGTGTCAGGACAGGGTGCAGGAATTAGTCATTCCTGCCTGCCTGCTCTGCACGCGTTCCTCCTGCACTCAGTGCAGAAATTACCAGAGAGCACCGACACCATCGCTGCCAACACCAACACCATTTCCACCAGCACAACTCCTAACAATGCTATCCCTATCAACAGCACTCCCACTGACCATCCCCACGCCAACCCTGCCCAGCCTTTTGCATGAAGCTCAATTCATTCCTATCAGGGAGAAGCAATTCCATCTCAGCTGCAACAAGAACTGGGCTCGAAAGGAGAAAATTTAGTTGGAGAGCAATGTTAGAAGAACCCCAAACTGCCAGAGCGCTGCACAGCACACATCTATGACGGCCCTGCTCCCTCCCCATAGGCCTTGGTGGAGATGAAGGCCAGGCCCTTGGCAGCACAGCGTGCTTTCCACGAGAGTCAGCTCTGGGATGGAGCACGGCTGGATAGCCTGTGTCCAGAGAAGCCAGTGTAAGCCTGTATCCTGCCTTGCAGTGCACTAAACAGTCCCAGCCCATCAACTGCTGTTTCACAAAGTCACATTTGGTTCCATGCGGCCACTGACAAACTGCAGCCACTGGCAGCACACAGAGTAATGTCCGTGAGTCCCTGCTGTGAACCTGAGCTACTCCTGGTCTGCACCTGCTTGGTGGTTCCAGGAGAAACCCAATGTTTTTTCTGCTCCAAAATGACAGCAAGCTCCACGCATGGCTAAATGATGGTCACAGAGGTGGATTTCTACCCGAATGCGGGATCATCCTGTTCTTGATAAAGGATCCTAGGGACACTAATCTGAGGAAATGAGCTCTGGCATTACTGTGCACAAAGCCACAGCCACGAGCTGCTGTCTGAGAGAAAGGAGTAGAATGGAGCCCTGGCTGGCTCGGCACTTTCAGAGGTCTGTGGTGCGGGATAGGGAGAAGTGTGACACTGAGTGCCCTTCTTGAACTGCCTGCACTTTGCTCCCTCCCTGCACTTTGCTCCTTCCCTGCCTTGCTCACCTTCCATTTGTTCCCCCTCTTTGTCTCTCTCCTGTTTTTTCATCTCAGATGAAAATGTGTACAGGAGTGTCAGGCAGGGGGAAAATGGAGTGAGTGGGAAGGAAACCTGAAGGAAAATGAAAGGAAAGCAGTAACAGACAGGGAAGGAGTGTGAGTCAATGGGGAGGTGGGAAGGGAGAGGAATATATGAATGAACACACAGACAGAATGAGGACAAACGGAGAATACGAGAGAGGAGAAATGGAAGTGGGTGAGACTGCATTCATCAGGTTTAATTCTGGCTCTGACAAGCATTCATTCCCTGCACAGAAGCAAACCCTTCCTACTCAGTGCTGCGAACATTCTTAGCACACCGTCATTCCTCCATAAGGCTGGGTAATTTCTGTTTGATGACTGAAGGTGTGTGTAGTCTCTCGGCACTATGTTTCACGTTCGCTCCTTTCCACAACAATGTCAGATGTTGCAGCAGCTCACAGAGCCGTGTTACTTATTTGCCAAAACACTGCATAAAGCCTTTCTAAACCAGACATCATTGCTGAATATTGAGACAATTTGCTTTTTTAATATTATTATTCTCTCTGCCTCTGTTTTGTACATTCTTCTTTCCCCTACTTTTTATTTTGTGCTACTGAGGTTGAGTTTTTAAGAACTGGTGGATTTTGCATAGGTCTTTGGAAGCAGACAGCCTTAGGAGTGTTTCCATTCCTCCAAGGCCTCTCATTTCTCAGCTGCCTCTTGGCAATAATCACTGGTTGAGCTGCATCTATTCACTTCCCCAGACCACAAGACTGTTTTTTTTCTGAAGAAAAAAACAGTTAATCTACAAACAGTGGCAGACTTCTGTGGAATGGTGCCGCAGAGAAACCTATTCCACAGCTCTGCCCTTCTACAGCACAAAATGAGCCAGACCTGCCTGTGACAGCATTTTGCAGAGTCACTCCTCTGACACGCTTCCTCCAGCCAACAGCTTTTCCCATCACCTGGGCTACACAGAGACACTTCTTATAGCTCAAATTGCTCGCAGACTTCATTCCATTTACTGTACTGGAATCACTCGGTGATACCGTAGATATTTCAGTCTCAAAGCACACGGAACTATGCCTGTGGTCCTCTTACCTGAAAGAGCTATACTCTGGCTGTCTCCTGAATGAGGAATAGTGCTATCTGAGGGACAGGTTGTGTCTGTGCTCAGGGATGACAGAGCCTCAGCTATAATCAAAAAGTTTATTCTGAGATGGATTATCCTTGACGGTGTTTAGCAAAAATGTCACATACCACAAATATGGGTCAACATTATATAATGGGAAGGCTGCCAATGGCAGCAGAATATTAGAGACAACAGCATCATGTGTCTAGAACTGCAAATGCTTACGATTTACCACAGCAGCAACCTTTAGCACATTCAGCAGTAGACAAATAGAGTATTACCAGTTTCTGTAGCTCAACAAGAGTGTATCTATCTGTCATCACAGCAGACTCGTGCAAGCAGAGAGCAGCAGCATTTTCTAACACATTACACTTACCGGGAACACGAACAGTGGCACACACCCTGTGCTTGGCCAGGTGCAACAGCATTGGCACAAAGGTCTCATTGCAGGGCTGCCATGTACAGCAGACAGGCAGAGCCATCCCCTGCAGAAGCACACGGCTTCTTCCCTAGAAGCCACCACCTACTACAAGTTCAATCCTGCCACTATTATTTAGCACCCCATTTGGGGAAAGCTGCCCCAGAGCAGCATGGAGCAGTAAGGCAACAGCATTGTTCTTATTTGAAAACACTTTCACAGTTCACACTAGCAGGATTTTATTCACGAGTTGAAAAAGAAACCTCCTTTCTCAGACTTCAGCAACAGTTCCAGCTATTCCTTCCCATTTGGGAATAAAGAAGACTTATGTCATTGCTCAATGGGCTGTGGAAACAGAAGGCAGAAAGGCTACAGACATGGCTTTCAGAAAAGGAAAACAAGGGAGAAAAAAGGCTGCCTTTTTTTCTATTAATATGTCACCTTTGAGAAAAAAAACATTAAAGGACAGAAATATAGAAAGGTCAAAAATACCATCCAGTATTTTGGATCAGTCCTAAAAGGAACATTGACTAAACTTAGCAATTAACTCCTGAAGTTTCTTGGAGAAAATACTCTATGGTTTCACAGTCATTCTTTGTCTTTAGAGGACACTGCAGTAGAAAGACACATACTTGTAAAGAATTGTGTGCAAGATATTCTTGAAACACCACAGGACTGAAGAAAATCCTCACAGTAATGACAGGGAGACAAAAAAAAAAAAAAAAAAAAAAAAAAAAAAAAAAAAAAAGATTTAAGATCCTCCAGTGAAAGCCACGACTGTGCACAGTTAATGTGCAGTGTGACACAGCTTCCTTTTCTACACTGAGAAAGACATTGATGTATGACAATTTGGCACACTAGGCTCAGAATCTCGCTGGGAATTTCTTTGCTTTTTCTCAGACAGCATAGCAAGGGCCCCCTCAAACACTCAGACAGGGAGGGTGATGGCAACAGACACCCTTTTTTATCTGGGAAAATCCAAGGCAAGCAGCAGAGAGCTCCTGAGCGAGCCTTCCTCCCTCTCCCCCATCTCTGCAGGGTGAGCAGTGCAGCCAGGCACCCTCATGACAGGCTGCAAGCCCTCTTGCAAGGGATCTGCTGCTTTCTTCCCTGATGGTGCTAGAGATGCTGGGAAGCCCTCATAATTTCTGGGAACTCTCCGGTGAGATAAATACAATAGCTCCTACAGCTCCAAATGTCTCTCCTCTCTTAGGAAGGCTTCACTGCATTCAGTTCATGCATTCAGGCTATTCTTGCAAGGCTCTAAAGCATATTACAGAACATCAAAGACAAAATTCTGAGGTAATCTTGTGACTTCTGGTGCCATGAGGCACACTCAGGAACCTAGTTTTTTGTATAGCAGGGATGGAATGGAATATGTATGGGGAAAAGCTAGTCTGCTACGCAGGCAAAAAGCCCATCAATGAGAGAATGAGGCAACTCTGGGGATATGCAAGAGAGGGTCACAAAATTAGCACAAACAGGGCAAACAAAGTTTGACTGTTTTCCCAGTCTCCCAGGACAAGTATCAGACAGTGTCAAATGCACTTAAAAGCAACCAGCTCCAAAACAAACACAAGGAGGTGGCACTTGTTAGACTTGTAGAACTGCTTGCCAAAGGAGAATGTCAGTGCTAAAGTTTATCTCAGTTCAAGGAGAGGCTGAAAAGAAATCCTTTGGAACTACTAAAAGCACAAGTGATTCAAGGTCCCTAAGATGAAAACAATTAGAGGCTGGGGAAGCATTACTGAGGAGTATATATGCATGCTTATCCTGCTCCTCATCTCCTCTCAACATCCGTGTACAACCATTGCAGAAGATGGACTTGCTGAATGTTTAGTCTGACCCAGCACATCAAGGAACTGCCCTGCTACCTGCCCCTTTATTCCTTGTTCCCCACCTCATCCCCATCCATAATAAACACTTCAAAGAATGCCACTCTCCAGCTGTACCATCTGGATTTGCA